TATGAGCTGTTGGATTATTTTATATTATGTTAGATTATAGCAACCAGCAGGGATGAGTAAATTATCAGTTTTTCTTGTACAATTGGCCGTTGTATAGTATAATATATCATATTATGCGATATGCGGCGACCTTTGAACTTTGATATATAGCGCTATTGCGGGATTTTATCGATTTGTGATTCCTCTTTAGTTTCCCACTCACAGAAAAATATTTGAAATACAAATAAGTACTCAGCATATGGATCGTTCAAACTTTTTGGGGTGGTGTTGTTTAAGTGCGACATATTTTATCCTTTCATATAAAGACTCAGACTCCTGTCGAATATTCTCTCAATATATAAACGAAAATATGTACTTATCATATTGTACTTCTGTACACATTTTTCTCTCTGTTCCTCGCATATTATTTGAATACACTACTTACTAGTTGTAAATGGTTTATCAGTCATTGTGTATTTGTATTTCATAATATTTTGTTTCACGGCAGGGGCTTATATTAATGATAATGGCGAGCGCGAATTCATCACGCAAAAAACGCGTTGGACTTGCCGACTTACCAGACAACGTTAATGTCGGTCGCGAATACGTAGATTTTGTCCAGAGTACAGCCAACTTTGGTCCTACAATTAGATTTGTAAGCATTGTAATCTGGAACGATCGTTTTAGTGCAAATTATATTGACATTGTGCGAGACATTGTTGTAATAACAGCAATATTTTCTTATCAGTGGCATAATCTTTAAGTTCCGAATTACCACATTGCAGTACAAGAGTAAAAGGTTCCGTGATAATATCTTTGTACATATCCATGAATGTTTAGTAAGTCGGCAAGCCGTGTTTATAAACATTAAGTTAATTTCCATTATCACCGCCTATATCTTGTCATGTGACCAGTTTCCATGGAAACCAAATAGTTAAAAAATATCGGCAGTTGATTTTCAACATCTCACCCAAAAATAAGAGTCGTAGCGTATTTTGTTAATTTTTAATTAATTTTTAAAGATTTTTTCTATTTTCCCACTCCTTCCGAAATTGGAGCCAGGCATTAATGCACCTGAGAAGACGATATCAAGCAAAGTTGTAGCCCTCATCAAGACGAACAACTTTTGTTAATATCTTCTTACCAAAATATGCACGCGTAAAGAGTTACATTCTGCGCATGCGCAGACCTATCTCCTTACATAAGCATAATTTGGTAAGACGATATTAAGCAAAGTTGTAGCAAAGTTGTAGCCTTCATCAAAGAAAATGATTTCATGGACATTTTTCGTGACATCAACTTTTCGGCCAAAGTTTCAGCCAGATAGAACACCGCGGAAAAACGTCTGCGCATGCGTCAACCTTACCTGTAATAGTATTGCAAACTTGATGAGAAGCTGTTCCGAACGTTTCCGAAGGCTCAAAATGGCGGTAAAAAGGAGTGACTTCATTGTGCGTCTTTACAGC